GGGTCACAGGGTGGGGTAGAGGGACCTCCTGTGGTGTTCTGACTTGGGTGGGTTCCCTCCTGAAATGATTTCAAGGAGAATATCCCACAAAGTTTTCAAGATAATGATATCCTACTATTTATTGGGTTGGGTCATTCTCCTTGTTCCATGTTGTCGTTGTTTCCCAACCCTTCATATTGGTTCTGGTTGTTGTTTACGGCCGGCCCAGACAGCCCTAGTTTTGGCTGCGTGCCCAGGTGAAGGATGATTTCAGACAGTGCTTCCGAGAACAGAAGGATAGTTTGGACAGGAAATTTGAAAATGTAAACCTCAATGATCACAACAGACACCCCTGCCTTGTCCCCGTCTCCCCCTCATCTACCTTTTTTCTAATACCAAGTTTTCACAGATTTTGGTATGATGGACACACACACACTGACACACACACACCCTGCTGACGTGCAACATTTAATTTCCTGACAGGGTGGTGATGTCTGAGCTGTGTTTGTAGAGGGGAGCCTGGGAGGGGAGAGCCTTCGAAGGGGGCCAACGCCCCCCTCAGACATTCCAAGCGGGATGAAGGGAGGGGGTGTGCCACGAAAACATGGGTCGGCCCAGGATCATGCGAAGCTATATCAATTCTACTGTTACACTCTCAATTGCTACAGTATGTGCTGCTGAAGAAAGACAGCAGACATCTTCTGTGATGATCATATGCAGTGTATCACAACCACGCATGGGTTTTGATGTAAATCAGTGCTCTCTACAATGGCAAATATATTATATTATATTTGCACTGTAGAGACTGTTCAGGTCCTGCTGTTTGTGATCAGGAGGGAATAACAGGAACAATATGATGTTGATGAGATGTTTGTATGCTGTCCATGATGGACTGAATAACATTCCCTGTCTCTCCTCCCTTCCTCTCTTCCTCCCTTTCTTCTTCACTTCTTCGGCCTGCAGTATGGATGTACGGCTTTACCGACAGTCCACGGAAAGAGGCGTCAGGTAGTCCTACTTGTGTGCGTGGCACAGGAGGTTGGTGGCACCTTAATTGGGGAGAACGGGTTTGTTGTAATGTCTGGAGCGGAATCAGTGGAATGGTATCAAATACATCAAACACATGGTTTCCAGGTGTTTGATGCCATTCCATTTGCTCCGTCCCGGACATTATTATGAGCTGTTCCCCTCAGCAGCCTCCTGTGGTGCGTGGGTGGTGTGCATGTGGTTGTGCATGTGTGTATGTCGCAACGCTGGTGTATGTGTTGTGGTGGCAATGCTTTCTATAACCACATGCCCATCGGCATTTTTCGATGTTTGTCCGTTTTTTGGGGGTTTCACTTCTTTTGCTTTGCATGCATGCACTGACTGTCACTGGTTTTCGGTTTATTTCCTGACCCATCTGCTCAACATCAACCATTCACATTCTGTCTTACTTTACTGACTTTAATCTCTGCATCCCTATGGACCTGCCTGACTGGATGGCTCTTAACCATTCAATACACTTTAAACACAGAGCCTTAGGCACCATGCCAAACTGTTGCTGCCTGGCCAGAGTGTGTGATACAGTACAGCTGAAACCAGGAGTCTGGTTCTTTACGCTTGAGTTCAACATGTGGATCTAAGATCATGATGATCAATCAACAACAATGAGAAAGAGAGAGAGAGAGAGAGAGAGAGAGAGAGAGAGAGAGAGAGAGAGAGAGAGAGAGAGAGAGAGAGAGAGAGAGACGAGAGGAGAGAGAGAGGAGAGAGAGTAGAGAGAGAGAGAGAGAGAGAGAGAGAGAGAGAAAGAGAGAGAGAGAGAGAGAGAGAGAGAGAGACTGACTGACTGACTGACTGACTGACTGACTGACTGACTGACTGAGAGACTGACTGAGAGACTGAGAGAGAGACTGACTGACTGAGAGAGAGACTGACTGAGAGAGAGACTGAGAGAGAGAGACATTGAGTGAGAGAGACTGAGTGAGAGAGACAGTGAGAGCGACATAGAGAACACGTCTGCAGCTCTGCAAATAAACATCTCAGCGATTAATGTGTTTTTCTCCAGAAATAAACACGTCACATCAAGCTTTTAACAGGAATATAAAGGGCCTGAATCCCCCAGCATCTAGGGAGCATTTCCCTAATGTTCTCCCAGTCTACTTACGCATAATTGGTGAAACATTTAGAGAAAAAACACTTTGTTTTCTTGTATTAGCACTTTCAAAGTGTCAATGTGAGTTTTGAAGAAAAAAAGATTTGGCCATGTTATTATGAGATATAAGCAGCTATTATGATTCATGATGTTTCCTGGTTGTACACACAACAGTCGACCGCATACATAGGAACAGCATGCAGCATGTGGAGGGTTGATCCGGTGTTATTTTATTATTAAATTTGACCCCATTTGCACCCTGTAGTGCCTTACATATGTTCATTTGCCTGCATGTGCTTTGGGCATATCTCAAATTACACCCTATGCCCTATATAGTGCAGTACTTTTGACCCAAGCCCACACAGGGGTTGGCTATATAGTAATAGTGAACTCACTGTAAGGAATCAGAATAATATTATGCTGGGTTAAGAAAAAGGAAAACAACATGAGTAGAGGGAGGGGTAAGGGAATAGGAAATAGGAAATAGGAAACATAAGGCCCATCAGAAAGATGTGATTTGAGACTCAATCTTTGTCTTTACCATACGAAGCAGTCACAGACAGGGCAATCTTCAATGAGGAGTGAAGACTAATAGCATTACCTTGTGTTGTTGGCTAGCCTTTCTGTTTATAGAGGCCCATGTTGAGATACTTAACTGTGTTATATTCCAATGAAGCGTCTTGAGTTTTAAAACTCAACATTTCTTAATCTCTTCTCTCTTCCTTGTAAGATCGTAACGTTAGGATGTTGCAACGCTCGTTTTATAATACTTAGGTTTGTTAGCTGTTGTTTATTTGACTGTAGAAATTGAATGATAAACGTTTGACAGACATTTTGTGTCAAAGGATTGGGAAATAATCTGCCTTTAAATCCCATTGAATGATTCAAATCCCAATCATCTTAATAGGCTTACAGCACAGATAGGTTCTACGCCACAAATTGCACCTTATTCCCTATTTAGTGCACTACTTTTGCCAAGGGCCCATATTAGTCTCTAGCCAAGGTGTTTGTTTGAAATGGGATGCGCTGTCATACGGCATTGTCAAAGGCATGCTCCCAGATCTGCTCTATAGCCAACTCGGTCTATGGTCTGACATGGCGATGACCATAGGATTTGACAAGACAGCACAAACAGATCTGGGACCAGTCTATAGCAAATACACAGGCAATGCTGTCAATGCAGAGGATCCTCACCACCGACATGGTTTATATTCAAGGTCCAATTCCATTAGCTAGATGATACAATAGCTGGCAACAATCATACCGTATAATCATATTCATATGGAGACAGCAATTGGGTGGGTGTAGAATGATGCTGACGGGGCGCTGTCTTAATTTTCCCACTCATAGTAATTGTCATGCACTCATATTTGTAATTATTTATCTTTTAGTTAAATATTGGACTAGAGTAGAATAGAGTAGGATAGAGATATACATGCAGTAGTCACTATCCATGTGCTGTGCAGCAATAGCATGCCTGTTACCCTGATCATTTCACACAACAGTAATGCACACGCACACACACACACACACACACACACACACACACACACACACACACACACACACACACACACACACACAGCTGTGCGTTTTATGATCATCTGCCTCCTGCATGTTCCTCTGTTTTGACCATTTCTCCTACTTCACTACCTTTATGTCTGCTCACAGAATGCATGTCCATGTGTGTGTGTGTGTGTTTGTGTGTGTCCAATGTTTGCTTTCCACATTCGTTCGCGCAGCAAGTGGAGGTCCTTGGACCTAGCTAGGTGCCTAGAAAAACAAAGATGGCTGCCAGTGTTTGGGTTTTTTCCTCGTGATGTTTGGAAATGCTCCTTGAAAGAGACATAAACAACAGACGTCATAAAGGGACACACATGTTGACATGGTGCAATTTAATGGGCAATGGATTGTGTCCTTGTCTATTTAATCAAAGATAAATAGTTAGTGGTGGAGGGTTGATGAACTTTACTGGAGCGCTGTGATATCAATTTAGGAATACATGGAATGTATATTTAAATTCTTCAAACTCAGGTTAGATGAGACATTGTATTTATAAATAAGGAAGAAGATAAATGAAGTAGAGCCTTTTAGAGAGCAGGAAATTAGTTACAATTTGAAGAAAAATCCCAAAGCTTTGGTACGATCGTACCAATGCGTAGCAAAACGTCAACAAACAGTGCTTCTAACTTAAATCAAACACACACCACGTGAACTTTGTAAATGAAGTCATTGCTGGCACTCAAGAGCTTATCATTGGGAGCTAGAATGAGAAGAAGAGAGAGGGAAAGAAGGAGAGATAGACAGAGGCTGGGCATGTGTTTATGTGAAACACAAGAAGAAAGCACCACACTCTTTTTTTCTTCCCTCTCTCTCTCTCTCTCTCTCTCTCTGCTCCGTCCCACTCATATGTTTCTATTTAAGGCCCTGTAATCCCGACAGCCTTGATTGGCGTGGTACAGCCCCCTACTCCTCGTCCAACGGCAGGCTCCCAAACAGAGAGAGAGAGAGAGGAGGGGAGAGCGAGAGAGGTGGGGAGGGAGAGAGAGCCAGCCACACTACTGATTTTCCAGAGGGAAACTTTTTCTATTCTTCCAGTCCCGACTGGAGTCTGTCTCCAACTCCAACCATTCAGCAGCTCTCCCTGTCCTCTCCTCATTTTATTTTATTTTACTCTTATCCTCTCTTCCCTCTATCTCTCTTTTTATTTCATCCCTCCTTTTTCTTTTTCCTTTTGACTTCTTTCAAATGCTTCCTGGTCCGTTGGTGTGGGCCGGGGGAAGGTTCCGCTATATGGCCAGACATTTGGGAATAAAATGCAGCGATAATATCCTGAGCAAGCGTTCTGATTGGCTAGGGAGGAGCAACGGCGCGGATTCGGCCTATGGCGGCATACCGATACCGGGTGCGCGGTGGCGGCGGGCGCTTGCGGCCACCACGGGGTAGGGGTGGCGTGGTGGGGACTGGGAGCTGGCTGACGGCATGTTTCTTCCCGTCCTCCCGTGCAGGCATTGACAGCTCGGACCCTATGGTGCTGGAACAGTACATGGTGGTGGCCAACTACGAGAGGCAGGAGAACTCTGAGATCAGCCTGCAGGCTGGGGAGACGGTGGACGTGATTGAGAAGAGCGAGAGCGGTGAGTAGTGTGTTTACATGCTGTACATACGGCTTTGGGTTGTACTTTTCTTAACTTTCTTTCACACACACAGAGACACACACCAACTCATGCACAGTCAGCACCTCGTTCATTCTAATCCTCTCATGGTGTCACTCCATGTTCTGTTTTCCTTCCCTCTGCCCGTCTTTGTCCTCAAGAATCCCTCCTTTTCTCCCCCTCCTCTCTACCTCTGTCTCTCCCTTAATCATTCTCCTTGTCTTCTAACTAGGGCTTGGCTCCACCTGGAGGCTTGCTGTTTGGCCAGCAGGGCGGTGTGTGTGTGTGTGTGTGTGTGTGTGTGTGTTGTGAGTAGGTGTGTGTTAGGCTATGCTTGAGTTTGTGTGAAGGTGTGTTTATGTGTTTGTGTGTGTGTGGTAGCGTTAGGCTGGAGGCCAATCTGTTGCCTTGTGCAGCAGGAATGTAGACTTATAATTAATAGTCCACTTTACTTTAGTGGAGAGTGAGATGTGTTTTACGAGTTACATCTTGGAACGGCAAAGGTCAAAGAGCAAAGTTTTAAGGGGAGAAAGAGGCAGAGAGAGACATTGTGCCTCATCAGCTTCATTCCTCACTTGTTATTTGGAAGCCTTGGGATAACTGGCTGCGTGTACTATTTTCACCCTTACGTTTTTCTCCAATTTCATTCTACTTCACAATGTTATCAAAAACCAAGGACATGGCAGTTGAGTTGTTGAATTACAGCACAGAAACAAGATGTTTACAGTGTACAATAGTAACAGTCTGCTATGTAATTCACCCTGGATAAAATCTGTTGAGTGAAAAGTCAATGTGAATATGTTGTCCTTATGTTTTGTTTTCATCTATCCAAACTCCATTTAACAACACAAGAGATTAATCTAACTTGCCATGGTAACAAGCCATTGACAGCTTGCACAACTCAAGATTAACAACCTCAACAGCCTAACAGTCTAACATCAGCAGAAAACCTTTGGCAAGGATACATCCACACACATCTTTCATCCAAATATTGGTGTGTGTGTGTGCGCGCGTGTCTTCTCTAGTCTTTCGCACATCTTTGAGCAAGTTAATGAACCTCTCTTTTTCATTAGTTTTACCATCGACCCAGCAACCCACTATCCTTCAACGGTTGGAGCTCTCTCTCTCTCTACTCTTTCAGACCCATGTGTTTTTGACATCAGGCTGTTTGAACAGCTTTTTGCTGTATTTCCCATTCCATTCATTGTCAGTACAGTGAGACAATAGTCTGCTCTAGCCAAAGCGGCAGTTCCGCCAAACTCTGTATGGGAATAGAGGAGTAGATGGTTTTGCAATGCAGCCCTTCTTTTGTGAATATTCAATGTATTTAATGTTATGTAAGGCTAAAGGGAAACCTAATCTCATCAGAAAATGTAAATGCTGGGAAGTGCTGTACTGCAATTATTGTGAGATGTGGTTGTTTTATCTATCTTAGTTAAATGAACTGATCGTCCAAAGTCCCTTTAGCGAGTGTCTGCTACATTTCTAAAATGTAAATGTGAAATTTCATGTTTTTTTCAGTCTCTTTTTTGAGGTTTCATACTGTCAACGTTTAAGCTGCATTGAGTTATGTTTTGAGAAATATGTTACTTGATGAGGCTTCGATTCCCAGAGATTTTGTAAGAGTCACACGCTAGAGTGAGAGTCATTAAACGTTTTGTTTAATGAATATTCAAAAGTTAATTGCCTGTGTGTATGCCAAAACCACGCTATAATTACCTAATTATTGGTGACACTGACACACTGCATTGGAAACACCAATAACCTTCACAAAGAGAGACAATCGGGCACATTAAAACTAAACAGGATCCGTAAATATTCAGTACTCGGACAGTTTCAATACAAAAGTGCATTAGAAAAATATAAAAACAAATACGAAAACAAGCTGTACTGTCATTGGAGCATATATGCTCAAACTAGTACATAGACTAAACCTGAAAAAGATCCAGTTTCAGTACAAAAGTACAGGAAAAACAAATAAGATATCATTCATAAGGAAACAAGCTGTACAATGACTGTCATTGGAGTTGAAGGTTACTGTAAACATGCTCAGACGTCTCCATATCCCTCCACCACTAGGCCAAATAACTAGAGCAACGATCTACGATGACATCATTGGCAGGCTATGCCAAACCAAACACGTCCTAGTGCCTTGTATATCCCAGAAACCCTTTCACTTTTTCAGAGCTTTATTGCAACCTTGGCGTCTCCACAGCTCTGCTTGCTTATGTCCTTTGACGTTTTGATCGCAGAAACACAGACGGTAATTTAACATCGCAATCTCCCAATTTATTAGACCCCCTATTTCTTTCATGTTATTTTAATGTTGCTTTAATGTTCCGCGCCCCATGCATCTCGGCATTATGACAAGTTATGCTTTTAAGTTAGCGTCTACCAATCTTATCCAGACTCTATGCTTTTTATTCTCTTCTCTATACAATCTCTAAACAGTATATCATATGCGGTTAGGAATGGTTCGGGTCAAGCAACAGTCAGTGAAAAAAACATCCACTACAGTAAACCACTTTACTGTGGTAGCAGTTTTTTCGGTTCATGCACTGTTTACCTCGACAGTCGCGGGTTCATAATCCCGAGTCGGATGTTGTTGTTATACCCTACCCCTACTGCGAGAAGTTATCGGCCACGTGCGCTCTAGTTCAACCCCAGCTGTTTCAACAAGTAGCCAGTATCGCTACGTGATACCGTAATATGTGTGTGTGTGTGTGTGTGTGTGTGTGTGTGTGTGTGTGTGTGTGCGCGAGTGTATGTGTGTGTGTGTGTGTGTGTGTGAGTGTATGTGTGTTGTGTGTGTGCTGATGTCATGACTTTTGGCTGTGAGATATGTGTCTGACTGTCTGTCCGGGGATTTATGAGCTACTATCTAGTAAAGAGAGATTTATGGAAGGGCAAGTAGGTGGACAAGCCAGAATCCTCTTGAAAGGAGGGAAAGAGAAGGAGTGGAGGCTATGTCTGGACCAGTGTCCTGGTTTTCTTCGTATTCCTGGTTTTCTCCCACTCCGGTCATTCCTTGGACATGGGAAATCACAGAGAGGGAAGAGGCCACAGATGGGAAAAAATCACTTGCATGTGTGACCAGAAGTTATATGGAGCGATCAGTTTATTGTGCTTCCTGCAAAGTTGTTACCTTCATGATATAGGTGAATGGTATCAAATGTATGATATAGAATAGTCTTTGAAGACTGGTAGGTCAGCCTTTGTTTGTTCAGTTTTGTCTCTGTTAGAGTTGACCATGCGCTCACAATTCTGATACCATAGTTGCACGAAAAGGACTGGTTAATCAATGCAACTGGGCCTCCATTCTGTGGCTCCATACTGTGGCTGAATATGGAAAATTCCCCTATTTTCTGTGTCCTTACCCCGGCCTAATGGATCTTGCAGGAGGACTGTGATGCTATGCAGCAAACAAGATCCTTTGGGTTACTTTGCCGCTCCCTCAGCCCACAAGCCCAGCCGGAGAAGACATTTGCCCCTCGCCTCTCTCTGTATTCTCTATGCGATCTTTGCCAGGTTGAAAGGGGAATTTGTCACCATAATCCTAAAGAGCTTAGGCACACTTACCGTACAGAACCCGCCTAAACACACATTCACACACACATAGTCATGTACTCACACACATGCGTGAAATTATGTATGCACATGCAAACACGCACGCATAAAAACACACAGGCTCAAACGCACACACACACCTCTCCTCCCTCACTGCCCGCTGTGCCCACAGGGGAGAAAGTTAGTTTGGCATAGCCCCCACTAACCCACATATCCTTTACTGAAATCTACCCAGAGTTTTGACTGAGTTTTGGCTGTGCTGTCGGTGTTGTTTGCCTTGGCCTGGGGCCCTCTGTAGATCAGCATTAGTGGGTGAAAGCACTGGGCCAAGTGTTACGTAGGGAGGAACACAATTTTTGTCAAATCTTACACTCCATCACTCAGGCTACAGCTAGCTTAGCGCTAGTCTCACCTTGAGGCTACATTTGAAACGGACAGCCTAGCCTGCTCTTCTGTCTTCAGTCAAGCCGATAAGGTTGTAAACCGTCAGAATCTTGGCCAGAGGGCTGCTGAAGACAGGCCTCACACACATTTGATCACCCTGTTGCAGGAGAACTATCCGTACAGAACCTTGAATTGTATTTGAGGTTTAAAAAGGCTTCTGAAGTTTGTAATTTCCACTTTGAAATTTCAGACTTGATTTTCCCTTACGAAAAATGTATCAACCCCTACAAAAATTTCCATTAATTATGTTAATTATAATCCACATAATAATTCACATTTCCTGTTGCTGCATGATTATTTTCCTGATGTAGCAAACTCGCTCAAATTAAGATCCCACATCTGCAGTTTCACATAGCCTATATCTATAGCCTCACCTCTAGGCAATCAAATCAGACAGACAGGCTTCAATCAAAGAGCATTTAGCGCTAGAGAGGTTAGCTTAGGTTAGCTTAAAGGATGTCCTGGTCAGGCTGTAAAAATGGACAGCCAGCTTCAATCAGGAAGTAATACTTATAAGCCAAGAGATAGCTATAAGCCAACAGATAGCGTAGCACGCTATTAGTCATACTACACATGCTAGCCGTAGCCTTAGTGTAACTTTTCACCCAGAGGCACTAGAGTTGCTGACCTACGTCAATCGACTCAACAGAGAGGTTACCTATAAGCCATTTAGAATCTCCTAGATAGATAGGCTCACAAGAAAGGCCACAGCTGGCCA